TTTGGGTTTGCTGTGGGCTTCTCGCTTTTGGGGTTTTGGAATGGACCTACATGATTATTTGTGGTACTGGGATTCGAAAGTGCAGAATCTCCATCGGCCCATCTTTTTTGCAAGTCCTTGCACGTTCGGAGGCTTCCTCAGGGCTTCCACCGCACATATTCTGGAGTTAAGCGTTCTGCCGCTTGCAGCAAATACCGCTGTAGGCATCGTAAAGACATATGTTGAGCACCAACCCTTCTCGATGCCCTTGCATTCCATCCAACAAAGTCCTCGTCCATTTGAACTGTGCTGGCAACACAGTTCAAAGTCCATGCTGCAGATGCACTCTGCACCCTCATGTCCAACATCAAATGATGTATATAATGTAGTTTGGGCGTCAAAGGGTACCTGTCGCGATTTGCAAGGATTGTCAAATGAACCAAATGCCCATAACTCTTTAAAAAGTTCAGGCCGCAGCAGGCTGCCTCAGCAGCCTGCTGTTGTGTCAACCACAACCCGCATCTGTAAAGTAGCCGGAGGCATGCATTCAAGTTTGCGACAGCTGTCTGCGTCCAAGCCAAAATTGGCTCCCCAGCAGCCTTCGCCGTGTGAGCATCGCAGAAAGCTTCGAAAATCTCCAGCAACACGGTTGTGTCGGCGGCTTTTTGCCAGGCGCCTTGAGGGCATTTCTGAAAAGACTCGAATCCCAAAGTCACCTCGTTGATGCGCTTGCAATACAGCGTTTTGCCAGTCTGCTGCAGGTAGGCCTGTGCAAACTCATCGAAATATGTAAACCGTTCCTGGACATTGTTGCCTTGCGGGCTAATTAGTGGAAAAAAAGAGCCCTGAATCCAATCATTGGTCTATATATTCTATGGAAAACCGGACGAAAACCAACAAATTCTAGAAAAAGATGCTGTCGAGAACCCCACTATTTAATTGAAACCCCACAATGAAAGCCCCCACTGGATGGCCACGTCGCCCGGCAAATGCGGCAGCCATTCTGTCACAGATGACGACAAAAATATTTTCCCGGCTCCGAGATGGAGACAATGCCACAGATCGGGTTTGAAGTAACTGGCAGGGTTGTCCGGATTTGAAAAAAGCCTCGTCACCATGCCCGGTGGGCTGACCCACGGGTCCTCTGTACCTACCGACTGAAGCCAGGCCGGTTCATCCTCAAAGCGCTCGAAAGGCCAGCCTGCAAGACCAGCCTGGCAAAGATGACAAATGCCAGCTTTCATCTGCTCGCCGCTTTTCTTGCTGACGTGATTGTAGGACCGGCTGAGTCCTCCTATCTTCGTGAAAAACTGAAGGTCCCCCACAGCGCCAATAAAAGCAAATCTCCAGGTCTCCCCATGGAGCTGTACTCCTTCTCGCTGCAGCAGCTCCAGGTCTGCAACAAAAGCATCAAACAGTTTCAGCAAATATCCTGAATCTTCGCCGTAGGCCTTTTTCGAAAGCACAAAAGACAAGAATCGGGTCTCTGCTGAGTGGCCTTTGATGTTGACCGGCATCGCATTTTTCCGCATGGTCGGAGCATCCTTGTGATACTCCTCGAAGGCACGGCAGCCGGCCCCAATCACTCCGTGCGTATTCACAATCATCACCGGCAATCGTTTCCTGCCACGTCCCTCATCCCCATGTATATACATGGGGATGGTCTTCGCAGCGTCCATGCTACCAGCGGCAAATGCAGCATGAACAGGGTTCTTTGGTTCCACTTCTTTAAAGCGATTCCAAAACTCCAGAAGAACACTCGGTGGTTGTTGGCCATACGTAATGCTCAGCTTTCCAAGGTCTGCAAGGTGCTGATAAAAATGACTGGGCTTAATCATTGGCAGGTCCCATTTGTCGCAGCCCACATTCACATAGGAAATCGGAACATCCAATGCCAGGCCGAACTGTCTAAACCTGAGATGCAAATGCTGGGATTTATGGAACAGCTACACTCGATAACCCTTTCACCCCGGCCGGTGTTTAACCTGCGTATACTCAAAGAAAAAATTGACACATATAGAATAATCTGGTGACCCCCTAAACCCCTAAACTCCTATATACCCTATATAGTCTTAATCCGCTAGACCCCTCAAGCCCTGTAAACCCTAAACCCCTGAACCCCTATAGAAACCCTTATAAACCCCTAAATCCCCTAAACCCCCTAAACCCCTATATAAACCCCTATATAAACCCCTATGTTAACCCCTATAAACCCTTAAAACCCCTATCATCCCTAAACCCCCTATAAACCCTATAAGCCCTATAACCCCCTAAACCCCGATCAGCCCTAAACCACGAAACCCCGCGTAGCCTTGCGTAAATTGGGCTTTTGATTGGATCTTTCGAGGTTAACTATAGCTTGGGTTTCTTCGGGTTTGCTGGGTTTTTCTAGGAGCTTTGATGTGTCGGTCGAGGCTTAAACAGGCTTATAATGGGGCTTTGATCAGGTTCATAGGATTCAAAGGAGGGTATGTGACCTTAGACCGGGCTTGTTTTATTGGATCTCAGTTCGGGTTTCTTCGGGTTCACAGGGTTGTCATAGGAGGTTTGACGTATGCATCGAAACAGGCTGATAATGGGGCTTTGATCAGGTTCATAGGATTCAAAGGAGGGTATGTGACCTTAGACCGGGCTTGTTTTATTGGATGTCAGTTCGGGTTTCTTCGGGTTCACAGGGTTGTCAAAGGAGGTTTGACGTATGAATCGAGGGCTTACAGAGGCTTATATATATGATGGGGCTGGGATCAGGATGTGACCTTACAGCGGGAATTTTTGTTGGATCTTAGTCTGGGGTTCTTCGGGTCCACAGGGTTGTCATAGGACGTTTGACGTATAAATCGAGGGCTTACGGGCTTAATCGGGTTTGGATCAGGTTTATAGGATTCCAGGGAGGATCACCTTAGTTGGGTGCAGCTGCGAGCTCCTGAAAGCTCCACGACGATCAAATGCAGCTCAGTCGCAGCTCATGCCCCGTCTCTTCCACCCTGTTTTCGGAAGTTTTTGCTAACTGATCCAAAATGTAGTCGCCAGAGCGGCGGGGGTCTGAAGCTGCAGCTTTCGCGAAGCCAGATAGTGTAGCCCCGGTGGCCTCGGCACAACAATTCACATTGAGGGTCACTTCAGACATCTATAGAAAGAATTGTGTTGTGCAAGCATGCAGTACGGACACATTGACTGATGAGGACTTTTCGCACGATTAGAGCACATGCTTGATTGCAAGATACACGAAGTAGGGAGAGCCAAAGTGGCTAGGCCCTTCCCCACCTGGATTCTCATTATGGCAACCCTGTTGCCCTCTGTACAACCGAATTAAATGGGCTTCCAGGCACTTGCACATCATGCTATCTGCTGCCATGCACAGCAAATGCATACGATGATAGCCTTCAAGACAGTAGCCCTCCAGCATCCGTCGGACGGGATCATGGGTGAAGCCGATTTTGAAAACCACGGGCCCTGCAGACTTCAGAACCTTAGCAGAATTAAAGAGAGCCTACATAGGGTAGGTACTACAGGGCCAGAAACACATGACGACCACAATCCACAACAAATACGATGGCAAGGCACTGTCTCAACCATCATTTCAGCATAGGAAAAGATCTTCCCCGGTGTCATGCCGACAGCTTTCAGTTCTGGCAAGCAAATTTTTATGACATCCCGATTGTCCAAGATTCTGGACCAAGTCTCTGCAGTTTCAGGTAGACCGAGAAGCTCATTGCACATGTACTTGTGGTATCTCCAATGAATCGAGGATCTAGCCCCAGCAGATTCGGCACCTCACAACGATCCCGAGTGCACTTCCGACAGCTTGGCATAATCACACCTGCAAGCCGAAATTGAGCCAAGTTACTCTTCGCGCTCTGCACATCGGCTACAAGGAGGGTTTTCCTGGAGGCAGGGCGGCATCTATACAGGGCTTGCATGGGTCTGTGCTTCAATACATCAAATTAAGCCAGGTGTCTGTCGTTTGAGATTGGGAAACACTAGGAGCTCCTCCAGCCACTCATCCATGGCTGAGGCTATGCACTCTATGTGTGCTGCACCCCTAAAGCCCTATAAAACCCTAAACCCTGAACCCCTAAACAACCCAATTTAAAAACCCCAACCCCTATAAACCCTATAAACCCCTATAAACCCTATGCAGGTTTGCATGGTTGATACCGTTGAAAAAAGGCTTTATGGGGTACATCGCAGGGGCTTCTTTAGTTTGGTGGGTGATCGAGCCTGGGTTGTGTATATAAGGCTTATATGGAGTACAGAGGGTTTAGAGAGCTTGTAAAACCTGGGGTAGCAGGGCGTTTGGGTGTTTAGAGGCATGGTCTTCCTGAGTTATTGCAGGGCTCGATCTGGGTTGAGGCTGCATTTCGCACATGATGGCTTGCACGACACGATCATCCAAATGAGCTAGCAGCTGTTACAGCATTATTTGCGGCAGGATAGCACCGAGGCGATGACACCCCGCACCAATTGTCTGGCTGCTTCTTTGCCAAGACTGCCAGCTTCACCTGGCATGCACAAATAAACTAAGTATGGCCCCGTAACATCTATATATCGCCACACTCAACCACTGCTTAGACAGAAGCTGCATTGGGTGTTCCTTTTGAAGCGGCGCGTCGACTGCTTGGGTTGCCGGTGCTGTCAGTACAACACCGAAACAAAAGTGAATCTGCATGGTCACAAAATCCAGCTCGGTGCAGCAGTGCAATAGATGCTAGCACCCGGCATACGGAAGCAGGCCAGTGGAGCAACATAGCACATGTTTGACAGCTTCTGAGCTACACTTGGATTCTCGCATGCAATGTACTAGTTAACTGCTCCGGGCCCACAAGACCTCAGATCTGCTTCGATCGGCTCCCTACTTCTTCTTGCTCTTGGCCTTTGCCTTCGCCGGCTTACTTTTGGGCTTCTGCTTCGATTCGGCTTTTGCTGCGGCTTGCAACTCTTGGGCTTTCAGCTCCTTGTGCAGGTCCGTGACCGTGGGCACCACTTTGTTCTCCAGCGACACGGCTTGCACAGCCCTGCCAGGTGGGGGGTTTAGGAATTATTTGGGGGATCAGGGGTTTAGGGTTTATAGGGGTTTAGGGGTTTATAAGCCCATTTCAAACCCAAAACCCTAAACCCTAAGCCCAATTTCAAACCCTATAAACCCTATAAACCCTATAAACCCTAAGCCCAATTTAAAACCCTAAGCCCAAAACCCTAAATCCAAATTACCCTTTAAAGGCCTTAAAGCTTTGGACTGCAGGGGCCAAGGCTTCAGAGTTTTAGGGCCGGTTTAGGGTTTCGGGATTTAGTGATTTATGTAGGAGTTAGAGTTTAGGGTTTTAGGGTTTATAGTGTTTTGGGCTAGCAATTGAAGCATCGCCTTCGGGAAAGATCGCCAAAACTCAACCTCCCCCCAAAACCCTAAACATCCCAAACCCCTATAAAGCCTATAACCCCATGCAGGCGACACAAAGATGGACCCGTCACCTAGACCCGATCCATGGTGTTTATATATATATATATATATATATATTTAGGGTCGAAGCTAGTACTATAAACGATTTCGATCACGAGGAAGTCTACATGCAACCCAGTCACAAGACAGAGGATGTCTCGACAGCCATATCAATCTCAGTCTTCAGCCTCAGGGTGTGAGAAGTTAGCGGGTTCCACGTTCGTTATGAATTACGATTAGACAGGTGGAATAAAGACATTTAGAGAGAGATGCCAGGAAGCTTCGGGGTCATGCGTAGGCTGGCAGTCGCTTTGATCAAGCTCATGCTGTCATACTGGCGCTCCATAGATGCAGCATGTGACTGCAATTCACCTGCCCACCTCAGGGCCAATCGTACTAAGCACTCCGACACTGAGCCCCCAATTTATGTAAGCACCCGTCTACATAGCTATCTGTCTATCTATCCCTCTGTGGCTTGGGGTCTAGGTTCGGGTTTATATAGGGCTTATAGGGCTTTCAGTTTGGGGGTTCAGGGGTTTAGGGTTTATAGGGGTTTAGGGGTTTATAAGCCCATTTTAAACCCAAGCCCCTAAACCCGAAGCCCAATTTAAAACCCTATAAACCCTATAAACCCTAAGCCCAAAACCCTAAGCCCAAAACCCTAAACCCAAATTACCCTTTAAAGGCCAAAACTTTGGACTCCAGGGGCCAAGGCTTCAGAGTTTTAGGGCCGGTTTAGGGTTTCGGGATTTAGTGATTTATGTAGGAGTTAGAGTTTAGGGTTTTAGGGTTTATAGTGTTTTGGGCTGGCAATTGAAGCATCACCTTCGGCAAAAATCGGCAAAACTCAACCTCCCCCCAAAAACCCTAAACATCCCAAACCCCTATAAAGCCTAAGCCCATGCAGGCGACACAAAGATGGACCCGTCACCTAAACCCGATCCATGGTTTATATAGGATATAGGACTGGGGAAATCGACCCATGAAGTAGCTAGTAGGGTTTTCCCTGCACTCCCTAGGCATGTATAGGTATATATAGGAGTATATAGGTACATATAGGTATGTAGGTATCCTAGGTAGGTAGCACCGCCGGGGTGGGAAGGGGGGGATGGAGTCCATTGAGTCACGGCTGCGAGCTGTGCGTGCAAACGGGAAACACCAAGTGCACGGTGCGATGATACCTTGAAGCACCTTTGGACCGAGAACATCAGGCTCTCCGCCCCGTCGCTCGCGCTAGACTGCGTCGAGACCACTGCCGGGCTGCTTACATGGTTCAACAACCGGAGGCTTCACGTGTTGAAGATCTTCCAGGTACTGCATGCCGTGGCATGCTCGTACCATGCAGCCCGACTTCGAGCGGGTCTTCGACCAGCTGCACATCATGGCATTTCATGCCGATTGGCATGGACTATTGGGGCACCCCCCCCCACCAATAGATCATATATAGGGTGTATAGGGTTTAAATTTGGCTTATAGAGTTTATAGGAATTAATTAAGGTTTGGGGCTTGGCGTTTATAGGCTATCGTTGCTTTCAAACGGGCCTGAATGGCCTAAGACGAGATAATCCCCGCGTACAGGGCTTATAGGGGCTTGGCGTTTATAGGTTTAGGGTTCCTTTCAAAAGGCTGAATGGCCTTAAAATCCTCAAAAAAACCACTAAACCCTAAACCTTGCAAACCCTAAACCCCGAAAACCCTAAACCCAAAACCCTAGAAGCCCTATATAAACCCTATATAATTATAAACCCTATAACCCTAAGATCGGGATAATCCCCGCGTGTAGGGCTCATAAAGTATGTATGTATATATATATATATAGATAGGGTTTATAGGGTTTGGGGCTTGGCGCTTATAGGGTTTAGGGTTCCTTTCAAACGGGCCTGACTGGCCTAAGTAAATCGATCGATTTATAAACCCTCAAAAACCCCTATAAATCCTATAAACCCTGTCCTAGCCTCTCATGAAGAATGTTCGGACTGGGATTGCGGGGTTTCAGCATTTGATCAGCCAGATCCCGAAGCCGCAACACTTTGGCCAAAACCTCGGCCAAGCACCGATCGAGCATCACACGGGGATCCTGGGCAATCGGATGTGCCGTTGTCGGTGATAATTTCATTGCGGGTTCGATCTTACTATGATGCAGCTGAGACTTAAACAAACTAATGTACTATTGAAAAATGTACTGCGGTGGTACCTAGTCAAGGGTTACAGGGAGGCTAGGAATCGTGGTTGTCCCAATACATGTGATTGCTTTAGAAGCTTCATGCTGGCTGTGTACGGTTTAAATTAATTAAGGTAGATAACTCGGCTTTCGCGAGCGTGTTTTGTTGATGCACAGCAGACCCCGATTGAAGTTTGCAGCAGGCTCAAAGCACCCCTAAAGTATAAACCCATAAATTCTTGAACTCTGCTAGATCGAACCCTTACAACCCACCCTTGTAAACAATTCTCCCTCAGGTTCCCTTGTATAGACCGTTTGTGTTTGGGAAAGCCCCGGACTCTCTAAAGGAATCGATCCTTCTAGTGGATATGCGGTAATCCACACAAAGATTACCCTAAACCCTAAACCCCAGAACCCTAAACCCTATAAGCCCTAATTAAACCCTACAAACCCTATAAACTCTATAACCCTACATTGTATACATCCCAGTGGATCATCCCAGGTGGCCTCGTTGCCCACTTCGGCGAGACCCGCGCCAGGCGTCTCGTCATCGAACTGGGTTTGCACTTGCTGCAGTCCTTCTGCCTGCACACGATGGACTAGCTAACTTTGAGGGTGAGGGAGAGGGAGAGAGGGATCATGGGAGCATAAATTAGATTATAATTTAAGTACTATATTCGCTATATTGGGTTTGGCCGGTGGCTTAGAGGGCAATTAATAGGTTCGTTTGGTATCTATATACAGGGAGATGGGCACAATCGATTTATGTTGCCATGTTCGGATAAAAAAGGCTCTTGGTTAGTCGGGTGCAGAAGCCAAGCCTCCTCAGCGGTTTCCGTAGAGGTGCGGTCGATGTGGGAATTCTTCAATTCTCCAGACCAACTAATCTCCACCCAGTACTGCAGTTGATCCTTGTCATACTTGTATGGCCTTAGATACATGCATGCAATGATTCGGGGCCTGGGATTCTACACCTTTGTGATTTAGTGCCGAGTACATCTTATCAACCCAAGCAACCTGGTCAGCTTCTTCGGGTTCTGCATGCAGTAGGCGATGATCTTCTTGATCGTTTTCCTGAGGCCACAGGAGTGTATTCCATCGATGGTAGAAAAAACATTGGGTACCACATGTAGTCAGGCTGTGGTCTAAACGAAATGCATCAAGTTTCTCATCATAGGTTAGCTCATCCGTCATGGCCGCTTCGGTGTACCAGCCTGCCGTCACCTTGAGGCTCTTCTCCTTCTCGATGATCGTCTGCCGAATGACCAGGGCGGCGAACTTCTTCTGGTGGGAAGGGCAGCTGCTTTGGGAGCTTGGGGTGTTTAGGGCACTTAGGGGTTTATAGGGTTTATAATTCGCTTGCATGGGGGTTTACAGGCTTTTGGAGGGGGCTTGTATTGGGTTTATGGGTCTCAGGGTTCACGGGTTTCAAGGTTTCAGGGCTTTGAGACTTAAATTGGGGTTGTAAGTTATGAAAACTCTGCTTTGCGTTTTGTGCTAGGATTGCCATTTGGCTAGCTGGCTTTATAGGATTAGTTCGGCTTAATTAGCTACAGTAGCTTTCGGGTTTAGGGTTGTAGAGGTCGATCCTTGTTGAAGTCGACAGACACCAAAGCACGTGCTAGGTCATTCCTCTTCTCCACGTCTTGGTAAGAGTTGTAGGCATCTTCACCCCCGGGGACCTTGCCATTCTTCCTCCTCTTACACGCCCGACGAAGCCTCTGCATAATAGCAGCCTCTGACAAAACCTGATCGAAGCACAGAAGCCAGCTAAACTAAGACAGTGGGTCAACAACATTCGAAACATACTCGTACTTATGGCACTAAAACAGCTCAGGAGCCTTTCCAGTCTTCGGGTCCCTCACGATACCAAGACCCAGGGTGTCCCCACTAGAATCAGCAGCATCATCAGCATCACCATCACCATCCGAGCTCGAGTCACTCTCCTTCCCACTCTCCGTGGGAGCAGGGGCTGGCCTGCTGCCAGCAGCATGGGATGGCGGGGGAGTGGAAGCACGGGATGGCGGGCGACTGGAAGCACGGGATGGCGGGGCTGGCCGGGCTGGCAGGGCTTTGTTTTCCGAGGCTTGCTTTGGGGTTGCCGGGGCATGATTGATATTCAGTTGCGCCAGCTTCTTGCGAATCTCGGCCTGCTTGCTTGCTAGAACCTCTGCTTCCTTTTGCAGCAGTGCCGCTTCAGACTCTGCATCCTCGCCATCGAGCTTGTCGAGCAAGCTTAGCGTGGGATCCTGATCGAGCAGCTAGAGACCACCCTTCTAGACCCATACAAGATTAATTTCCTTAAACCCATGCATGACACTGCAACCTGGCCACAGGCTCATCTCCTGACACTGATCCTGCTGCACGTCTTGGAGGCCTGCTAGACTCACGGGGCTTCTCCTTTTTGATTGGCCTCGAGGGACCACGGGATCCCATACTAGTAGGGCTGCTTGGGCGGCTTGGTCGCTCTGATCCAGGGATTGTAGCAGGCGTCGGGGTTGCAGGAAGAGAGGCTGGTGTTGGTGGCACAGGGGATGCCGTCACCAGCGTCGGCTGCGTCTGATCGAAAGCCTCCGAAAGGTTCTTGCTGACAGCATCCAATGACCCATCCTCAGAGTGTATTGCTGATCGACACTAACTAAAGTTTAGAAACCCAGTATAAACTAATTAAGTTTATATATGAATAGAGTCAGGCTTTTTTTAGGGTTTATAGGGCTTGTAGGGTTTATCGGGCTTATGGGGTTTATAGGGTTTAGGGTTTGGGGCTTTGGGTTTAATTATAGGATTGCATCACTTCCATCAAAATGCGGGTTCCCCTTTGACTCTCTTCGTGGGCGGGGAGACAGCTGGGGAAACACTCGCCAGAGCCCGGTCATCTGCAGCAGCAATTTGAGCTCGCAGCTCCTGACAGCATCATCGAACCATATAATCTTCAGCTGGGGAAACATGTTCTGAAACAACTGAAGCATGAATCTTAATTGCACGACCATCGCCTGCACACGCTTTCGCATTGCCACCTCGTGCATGTTTGCATCCTCAGTCATGACCTGCTGATATCCCTGCTCCAGGTCGGAGCAGGACCAAAGCTTTGAGCCCAGCATCTGCACATCAGCCAAGATCGATCGATACGATAGGCTTCAGCACTTGAGGGCGTTTTAGGGCTTCCTAGGGTTTATTGTGATATAGGGTTTATGGGGTTTCGTGGATAGTGTTGCTGGGGGCACGAACGGCATTTGCAGATTGCTTTGCAAGCTGCTGAGGAATGCCACATTTTAGCACACGGCACCCAGCTGAGGTTCGGTTTGCCAGGTCACAGTGATCACTGCATTGCAGTCCTGACACAAGGTGGGTTGGGCATTGAGGGGATCGACACATCAAAGTTTGGGTTTGCAGGGCTTCTCCGGCTTTTGTTGCATGTATTTACATGCATGCGTGAAGATACTGGCAAGGCTCGACCTGAACCCAGCTAGTCACCTAAGTGGGGCTTGTTTCAGGCAGGCCTTTCTAGGGATCTACTTTGGGTTCATGTAGTTAATATTAAAAGATTGAGATTCCAAGGGTTTTAACAAGCATTCTAAGGTGCTTGCTAGATGCAATCTCACCTCGATTTAGCCTCTCGAATATCTATATATACACAATAAATCGACCCTGAAATCCTTACACCCTTGTGCTCCTAATCATCCTCTGCATGGGGCCTTGTTAGAAAGTTCTGTGGTGCACTAGGCTAGACACATAAATAAACCCTGCAAACCCCAAAGGCATCTCGGTTCTCCTTCCAAAAGTATGGAGCCACCCAGGCAGCGACCAAGCCAAAACCTGCAGCCACTCGATCGAAGGCTGGGGTTTAGAGGGTACATGGGTTCCAGGCCTGGCTTCTCCATTCGGTTGTAGCATCTCATAGCAGACCTTTTGTTTCCTGGACAACACTCATATATAGGTTCAAAGGAGTGAGTTTAGCTGTGATAATGGAGGATCATACAGACCGGCACAGTCCTCCAGCCAAGCCAGGAACAGCCTCCAAGGCCAAATCCGCAGAGCCTGCCAAAAAAAGTATACCCGCCCCAAAAAGTATGCCTGTACGGGCTAGTACGGGTTGAGTTCGGGTAAAAGGTGAAATCTGAGTACGCCTTTTTTTCACCATAATGTTGACATTCTACGCTTTCCGTACGCGTACGCTTTCCGTACGGATTCGGGTACGGTTTTTTTTCACCATCGTTTTCACCATTTTCGTCTCAGTACGGGTTCAGTACGGATTTCGGCCTTGGAAAAAAGTATACCTGCCGGAACCAAAAAGTATCCCCGCACAACTACTCTTGAGCTCTGATAAAGGTAGAACCCGCGCCCACGAAGCCCGAACAATCCCTGCCAAACAGCGTAGAGAAGCCTGTCAAGGCAGCCAGAAACAGCACCCACGAAGCCCCCACAACCCCAACGAACCCTCCCAAGGACCCACACAAGCCTGCTAAGGCCTCTCCCTCTCCCTCTCCCTCTCCCTCTCTCCCTTCACTCCCCGTCTCTGTGGCAGTGTTGACACTTGCAGCTACTGAGCCTGGGAATCATCCTGCAGTGGTATCGAGATCACTCCGGTAATGATGTCGGAAGTAGTGGTCGCCAGCCCTCCGGAATCCTCAAATGCTTGTTCCCTCGCAAGTATCTAACCACCTCTGTCATGCGGCTTTCTTCCCAGAGGTCAGCAAACGTCATCTGCTGGAACATGCTGGCGATATCGGGAACCTGCCAGCAGTGTGTGTGTTTGTGTTATGTACATACATACATACATACATACATACATACATACATACATACATACATACACACACACATACATACATACATACATACATACATACATACATACATACATACATACATACATGTATGAAGAGGAGAGGGGAGGGCAGGCCCCAAACCCGGCTGATGTTCATGATGCTCTCCCCTTGCGGGTGTTCTTTTACGTGTTCTT